TCGCGCATAACCCATGTAAGCAGCACAGATAGACATCACCTTTAAAAGCCACTTGTTAAGAGGCGATATACTTACCGGAGGTGCAGCGGATTAGGTTGGCGGCGCAAAGGTTTCGTGTAGATTAAGTAATGGTGTCGTGTCATCTAGGTAGGTGGCACGCCTACCCAGCAGTTCAAAAAGACATGTGAACAGTCCATACACTTATCGGAGTTGCAAGGGAGTAAAAAGCGGCGGCGACGGTTACGTGGAGGCTGACCAGTATCAGCGGATCAATCATATACACAGCCCGGATGAAGAGCAATTCCCCAAAGCCACATGTGGACGGACAATACATGTGCCGGAGTTGCAACGGATTAGATAGCGCGGGCATAGGTTACCTGGAGGCAGACAACTATTACCGGAACCCATTTAAACAGAAGCATTTCAGGCGAAACGCATACACCGACAGAGTGGAACACGAAAGCCTGTTAACAAGAATCCAGTGAATCGACCTCACGCCGTATTCCCGACCTGAGCCAAACTGGGAAGACACCGGTGGTCGAACGTAACTAGCCTCTTTATATCTGCTGATCTAGGTGGCCAGGTTTCTCGACCGTCGATTTCCGCCAACCACTCCCGCAATCCACCAATCATTCTGCGCCTGTCTATCACATTGTGTGCAAGTCACACTGCGGAGACCGTCACAGAGTGAGCGCAATCCACCGTCAGCACATGAGTGCTATGACGGCCAGTCATGTCTTTTACGATCACCTCGAAAAGCGGCCGGGTGGATTGCCCGCCGTTCACATGCTGCTGCTTGAGGCCGTTCAATGTAGGCCAGTGGATTTCTGAACGGATGTTTCAAGAGTAGGTACAGGTGTTTAAACCTTATCCGCAGGACGTGTGCAGTCTGTGTACAGGTTGCACGGTAAGTACAATCCATCTACGGATATGTAACGTTCACGCGTATTGATTGTAAGGAAAATCCCAACGGAAGTTTTACGAGGCAGCACTCAATTTTCCGTCACTTGAAGCTCTAAAGAACCGCAAAGTTACGCGCCTTAAATTTAACTTTCCCGCAGCAATACATACATGTGTATGCCGGATCACCGTGGTATCCCGCACAACTTTGATGAAACCATCGCCTGCATATGTCGCAACTTATGCACCCCTTGCTTGCAGCACCCGGAGTCATCATCCTCTTGCTGACAGAGCGCAAACCGCATGTTCATTAGCCGCCTGCCTCAATGTGCGCCATTTGTTGTGCGGCGACGTGTTACGTCCTTGTTTTTAGGGTACGGAATTTCAATTGCCGTTATATCGTGATAGGACCCGCAACCTCCACCACAAGGGATATCGAAGGTGGCTTCCGTTTTGACGCCTACAGCCACTGTCAACACCCCTCGAAACACCACGATTGGAAAGATAGGAAAATCTCTGGAGTTTTCCTTTTTTATGGGATAGTTGAGCCAGGAAATGATAACGGGTTGCAGGCTTGATAGATCTAAAACGGAACAACCCAAATACACCCTGGCCAAACCATTAGTGCCAAATTCCCCGCACTAGCAGACCACACCGTGTAGGTCACTTGAAGTAAGAAAGAAGTAGATATAAAAAGGAAGATAAAGGGAAATAAAGTTATTTAAATGAAGGATAACACCAATGAGTGAAGAGAATGACAGAACAGGAACTAAGAGTTGGAAGGTGGATATGTTCAGGAGAAGGGAATGTTTCGTGTTGCCAGCAAAGAGCGTCTAACTGACGATCGAAACCCTTAACTTTTGGCTCACTGACTACACTTTCTGGAAGCAAGTTCCAGCGCTCGATAACTCTACGCGATAACCGAGTTTCCGCCCTGATCCCGTCAGAACGCGAGTTGTGCAGGTGCATGGGATGACTGCGAAGACAAGTCAACCTAGCCGGGCTAAATAGCCAGCTCAAGTTCGGTCCAACCTTCAAGTTCAGGTTCAAGCGGGACTGGAACGATAGGAGGATCCCGTGAGTGTTCCTTCGTCGGCAGGTCGTTGAAACAGTTGGCGAACGTTGGAATACTGATGGACCTAAAACAAAGACCGCATCATACCCTGTCCAACTAATTAATGCCCACGGATCTTGCCTTAGCAGTCCCTGCTGGGCCGGTTACGTGAAGTAAGAAAGAGAAAAAAGTAGACAAAGGAGGCAGAAGAGAAAGTGGAAAGAGCTAAGCAAGTGGAATACCAAGATATTTGAGTCATTAAGAACAGAACTGGAACGTGCAGGTGAGTCAGCTGGGATAAACACCCTAAGTCCATTTTGTTTTGGTTAAGACATGGTGGACAAGCCTGAATACAATATTTCAGGTGGGGTCGAAGGAATGCCGAGAATAGCTTCACTAGCCAATTGGCCGTTAAGATTCCGAAAGAGCGGTGAATAAACCACATCGTACGGAACCCTCGACAAGCATCCTTCTTCCAGTTGTCTCCAGAATGAAGTACTGATGCGTGTACGATTCCTAAATCTACCTGCCGAGTGAAAACATGGAGTTCACCACCGCCGACAACGTATCGGGTAGGAGGATTAGCAGCTCCGATTCGGAGAACAGAGCACTTGGCCCTATTTATGGGCATCAACCATAGGGCTGACCATTCTCAGAGCCTATCCAAGGCATGCTGAATTGCCTCAGGACCCCCGAGACATCCACAATATTCCAGAGCTTAAGATCGTCAGCAAACATTAGTGGTGACACCCCTAGCTCTCCCGGAAAGTCATTTCCATAGATCGCGAACAACAACGGCCCCAATACCGAGTCCTGCGGAAAGCACTAAGAACAATTTGCCCGAGCGAAAGGCTACGCCCTTCCCGTCTGCACTGTTCCTGCTCCTCAAGGAAAGCAGACACCCATTGAAGGGTGCGACCAGATATCCCGTAAGATCTCAACTTTAGTGAGAGTCGAAGATGTGGAAGAGTGTCAAAAGCTTTGGAAAAATCTACGAATAGCAGATCTACTGCGTGGCCACTGTCTGCCACTTCGGCCCAGCTTTCACGAGCTACAAGCAGATTAGTCTGGTGTGAAAATCCTTTACGGAATCCACGTTGCGCAACACTGAGAAGGTTGAATGTATTCATGTGGTTCTCCACTGAATCCCTTATTAGCTTTTCAAACAACTTGACTACTATGCTTGTCAAATTGACAGGCTGGTAGTTCGCGCGCAGAGCGCTGTCACTGCCCTTAAAAATCGGACAGATGCTTGCCTCCTTCCATTCCAAACGTAAGATGCAGCTGTCCACCGATATTGAAAACACATATGTAAGAGGGCCACTCAGCTCAGTGGCCAATTCATGCAACAACTTCGGATGAATTGAATCAGGACCGGAAGCTTTAGAGTGCTTTAGAGCTCGAAGACCTGAGTCTCCGTTATGCTGAATTCATCTAAGCAATAATCCACTGGAAACCTTGAAATCAATTCAACTTGCGGTAAAGAGGTCTCCCGGGCAAAGACCCCAATATACTGATCACTGTCATACTACGCTAAGTGAGGATTACTTCTCCTCGAAGCGAGCGGTAG